TTGCAAACCACAAAGAATCATAATCCAAAACCTCAAATAAAAAACATAGGCATACAATTCTATAATCCAACCTTATTATAGTTTTGAAAACTTCGGTTCGGTTTCATTATTGAACCTAGGTTATTACGTGAAATGTTTACACGCCCACGCATACTGTACTCCATGCAATTATCATAATGTTAATGGCTTTATCATGATAATGCATGCTCAAAGTGAAACGGGATTTTGTCATGTGCTTCTTTTCAACCCCACGATTATCATTATTATCACGGTACATGTTTTCTATTAACTTAATCGCAAATGAATGACATCCTGGTTATCTTGTTTAAAGATTTAATGTGCCGTACAATGCAAAAGACCAAAAAAAAAAAAAAATTAAAAATCATTTATGCAATTAATTTGCCTATTTTAGATAACATAAGATCCCATAAGAACCCTTCGAATTTCATTTCCATAAGCGTCCCTCTCGATTTCCGCTCTGTGTTTCTAAGCGCCCCCGTTTAAATAAGCTCCCCGTTTGAATAAGTGCCCCTCTCAGAAAGTGCAAAAAATATTTTAAGCGCCCGGGCTCTTATTTGCGTGAGTACGGTAAACCACGGTTAAAATTCATGTTTATTTACACAATAATTATTAGAGAAAACCTTTTTTTAAGTCGAACCGAAATTCGTTAGTGAGAATATAGGCCGATTTAGGTCAAAGTAAAATGTATTCATCCAATGTATATGGCAATTATATCAGAGACGGATGTACTGAAAAACAATCGGAACTATACACATCGCCAAAAAAAACAAAAACTTTCCTTCCGGCAAGTGATAAATTTTAAGGAAGTATATTAACACGTTTACCAAATCATTTATAGACTAGAGCGGAACAATAATCTGTCGATCGAAAATTAGATTTGTAAAAGCCCCAACAATAAAGAAAAAGAAAGAATACTAACTTTATGCTAAGATTCTCTAGAGCTAATCAGTGTCGATGCTGGCAGTGGTACATTTATCAGTGGAAAAATAATCTTAAATACAAACGCGGCACTTATTCGAACGGGGCGCTTATGAAAAAAAAAATGTGGAAATTGAGGGGCGCTTATGGAAATAGATGAAAATCGAGTGGTTCTCATGAGAACTTATTAAATTCGAGAAGCACATATTAAATGAAAAACGATTACCGGTATATAAGGACATCAGGAAACCGAAAATTACGAATGGTGGTGCAGCGGAAAAGATAATCGTCCAGAGAGCATGGCTTGTCATGACAAGAATGTTGTGAGTCTACAGTATTACGAAAACTCAGATGAGAATGTGTTAAAGGAAAATGAGTAGGACTAGGCTATAGACAATGTAAGAAGATGAAAGTTGGAAATACACTGTCTGGAGCTCTCATCTGTCCAAGATAAACCGAATATCCTCATTTTGATATTGACTAAAGGAGAATGTGATTCCTCCCACACCTCAAATCATGCCAACATCGACAGTCCCAGGATTGATTGGATTATTCAAGATTGGCGCTTACTCAAACGGGGCGCTTAATCGCGCGACTACGGTAGGCCACTTTTACGAATTGGTCTCACATTTGAGATCAGTCTCGTACCCTCACTGTGCATTTGTTTAATGGTTATGTTATTGCATTAACCTACGGCTTTTTCTATCCATCCAAGAGTGTACATGGGTGGATTGACGGGGCCGGGCCGTCAACCCCCATCACCATCCCCTTGGGAAAAAAAATGAAAAAATAAAGGAAAAGAAATATTTTTTAAGGGTTTGCATGCCAAAGTAATAATATATTGAATGCATGCGATACACCACTTGATAGTTTTGATGTTTGTGGAGAATGCCTCGACATTTCGGTTAAGTTGCTTCAATCTTCTTCAGGAGAACAATATCTATTAGTTAAAGAAATTATTAATATGAGGGTAGGATTGTCCCTCGGTCGGCCCTTCTTTTCGGATATCCCTGGTATAAGTGGGTATCTAGATCAAAACATCAATGCACTGATTACAACTACAATTTTGATTTACAGGTATATCCAATGACCGATATGTAATAATCGCATAGCGTGACAATGCTCGTTATTATTAAAGGAAACCTAAATACAAATGCTTAGAAATATTTTACGATGATCTTTTTTCCGCAACATTTTTTTTTTCAGTGATAACGGTACCACTGTCAGCACGACTTAAAAAGTTTCTTCTAATAATTATTGTGTAAATAAGCATGAATTTAAACCGTGGTTTAATGATAAAACTGCCACAACACTTATTTATAATGCGCTAATTACAATTAGGCCTATTAAATAATTAATTCCTTTATATTTTCTCTTAGTGAAAGCTTGTCTCAAAAGAAAACTTTTTGTCAAAACAAGGGACGGTGTCTGTTTTAATTGTTTGCATTTCTGTGTGTTCT